CGGTGATGTCATCCGCCCAGCCCAGCGCGCAGCCGCGGGGGGCTGCACCCCTGGGACCCCGGCCCTCAGCGCCGCGGCGCCCGGGGAAACTGAGGCCCGCCCAGGGCTCGGGCGCTGGCCGGCATTCTGCAGCCAGGGAAGGGAGAGCTCGAACTTGGGACCCTCCCCCGCCCAGATTCCTAGAAGGGCAGTGCTGGAAGACACTTAAAAATCACCCCCCTTCTTCCCCTGTCGACCTATGGGGAAACTGAGACCTGGGGAGGGGTGGAGACGCAGTCCAGGGAAGAGAGAGCCCCAAGGTCTAATGTCAGCCCCCTCCCTGCCCACGGTTCAGGCCGAAAGGTACCTAGAAATCCCTCCCTGCTTCATTTCCTTGCGGGGAGACTGAGTACTAGAGAGAGGAAGGGGCGCGCCCAAGGTCACACAGCTAAGGCTGGCACCCGGAGGGCCGGGCTTGGGCTGGCTGGGTCAAGGAGCGGCACTCAGAGGGCCGGGTCCCTCCTCCAGGCTATAACCGTGGGGCGCGGGCTGCGAGTCACGGCCCACGCCCCAGCCCCGCTCCATTTCTGGAGAGCTCTGTCCATCAGCTCAGCTGAACCCTTAGGCCTCAGGACCCCTCGGTTCTCTGCCCCGCCCTCAAGGGTTTATTTTTTGCACTAGAGAACGGGGTGTCACTGTCACCCCGGGACACAGCCTCCTGGCCTCGGTCTTGGCCGGACCCCCTTCTGCCCCCCACCCCCGCAGGGCTGACTGCCGGGAAACAAAGGGAGGGGGCCGGCGCTTGGGCAGGTGGGGAGGGAGGGGACAGGCGGCCGGGCCGAGCCGATCAATAAATCAGAGAAATGAGATCACAGCCCGGCGCCGCCCTCGGACCCGGGAGAGGTGGAGGCAGCGCGGGAGGGCAGGGGGGAGGGGTTGGGGGCGATGGGAGGGGGGCAGGCAATGGTGGCGAGGGAGGAGGCGGCGGGGGGTGTAGGAGAAGACAGCATGGGGAGGGGGAAGCGTGGGGAGGACGGCGAGACGGTGCAGGGGCGATGGGAGGGGAAGGCGCGCTGCCGCGACTGGCCCGCAAGGGGTGGTCGCCCATGGTGTGACAGACAGACGCTGGGTGTGCTCCACCAGGGGCCCAAGGCCGGGGTGTGGAGGGCGTGTGCTGTTTCTGACTTCCCGGAGCCCGGGGGCCTTTGGCAGGTCAGCGTCTGGGCCCCACATCCACCTGCGTGCTTGGTGTCAGTGTCGCGGGGCTGTGGACACGCGGACTGCGTGAGGGCGTCAGTGTCGCGGGGCTGTGGACACGCGGACTGCGTGAGGGCTGGGGTGTGAGTGGACATCTGTGCGCATTGTGTACAGGTGTGAACACATCCATGCATGTGTGGAGGGGGTCCAGGTGTGAGTGTGTGTCCGTGTCTGTGTGTAGGCGGTCCAGTCAGGTAAAGGATTGTGTGTTCAGGTGTGGCAGCCCTGAGCTTGGGGAGGAGGGGGGAGTGGGGTGAGGAGAGGGCTGACACCCACCATGCACCCTCAGGGTCCCGCCTGCGGCACTGCCTCTGGGGCTGCCTCCTCCAGAGATCTCAGTAACATGCTACCAACCCATGTATTTCCTACCTGTCCCTAGGAAAGAATGGGAGGAATGGAGTCTGATGGCCAGGGTTTAAATCTTGGTATAAGGGTGCTGTGCGCGGGGGCAGGTCGAGTTCCAGGCCAGTCACCTCCCAGAGTGCCTTTGGACAAACATCCAGTCTCTCCAAAGCTCCATTTCTCTCTGTAAACATCACCTGCCTCCCAAGTGCTATGAAATTTAGATGATCTTGATCAATATCTGGCACATGTCTGACAGCTGTTAGAATACATCAAACTCCTACACATCCTTCAAAACTCAGCTTCAATGCCCCTTCTTCCGGGAAGCCTACCTGGCTTTCCCACTCAAAGCTCTGGCTCCACCTCTGGCTGCCCCAGCCCCAGGTCCCTCCTCTGGTCCCACCTGGACCCCACCCCCCACCCCCGCCACCCAGGCGTAAAGAGTAAGGGTCCGGCTCTGGGGGATAGTGTCCAGGTCTCCTTCCTATGACATGAACATGCACGTGTGATGCTGACCGTTCTTGGTGCCAAGGAGTGATTTATTGGCAGGCAACTCTAGGCAGTGGGTGGATAGGCAGGGGCATCGGGGCTGTTTCCAGCTTGACTGTGGCTCAGCTCATGGCAGGCACAGTGCCTCCAGGAGGCCGAGGGAGGAGCCCAAGTTTGGCAGAAACCAGAGCTCCATCAGGGACCCAGGCCCTAGCAGGCAGACACGGAGTTCTAGGACAGAGGAAGCTCATCCCCCGCCAGCAACTGGGGAGGGCCAGGTGTCCCTTTCCCAGCCTGGCCTGGCCTGGCCTGGCCTGGTGTGACTGGGAGAAGAAACTGGGGTGCTGGAAGGAGGCTCGCCTTGCACCCCGTGCAGGGCCTCGGGCTCACAGCCCCCAGGGACTGACAGAGGACGGTAACTAGAAGGAGCTCGGACAGTTCAGGAAAGGGGAGAGCAGATGTGGCTTTCCTGGGCCCCTCCTGTGGCTTCTCTGAGGCTCCTCCAGACAAAGCCAGGCCGTACCCACACCCCACTTTACTGCAGGGGAAACCGAGGCTGGCTGGGCGGGGTAGTCAGAGCATGGTGTTCCCTGCCATAGTGGCAGCCGGCTTGGAGTGGCGGCTGCCCATGGTGAAGGCAGGGGCCCTGGCCTTGTGCACGGTGACCTGCTCAGGGCTGTGGGTGCCTGGGCCTGGTGTTTCATCAGGCGGGCGTGGGGCTCGGGGCCGCCCGAGCATGGTGAAGGCCGGCCAGCGGTGCCTATAGGCGCTGGGATCAGGGCAGTCATACTGGCCCGGGCCGGGTATCTCTGCGGGGTCCTGCGGGGGGCGGATGGGGGGCGTGCGGCCCACCACCGTGTAGCTGGGGCTGCTGGGTTTGATGAAGATCTGGGAACCCCAGAGGGAAGGCAGGGTGTAGGTATTGGGGGCAGGGGCCGAGGTGTCCAGTGGCTGCGGGCAGAGGCGGGCACCCAGCGTGAAAGCCGGGGGCGTCCGCTGGCGCACGGGGGGCACCTTCTCTGGGCTGTAGGCCCCTGGTCCTGGCGTCACCTCCAGACCTGTGGGAGGGGGCACAAGGTGGGCACTGAAGAGGTCCCTGGTTGTCGCTCCCCTCCCTCCCCGACTGCCAGACACATGGTCTGTTCTCTTTCAGGCCCCAGACTCTGCGAGGCTCAAATCTCCCCCATCTCCGCTGCCTCCCACACCCTCCCTCCGGGCAGAGCCTCACCCCCTTCTGGATTCCCTGCCCTGATCCCTCCTCCCTCCAGACGTGACCACAGAGAGATGGGTCATCCTCATCTGAGTTTCCGTCCACCTCCAGGCTAGGATCTCATAAAAGGCAGGGACATAGTTCATCAACCTCAGCGCCTCGCAGCGGGCTTAATACATGTTTGTGTGGATGCCTGAGTAGACGGACAGTGGGTGGTTGAGAGAGGAGTGAATGGATGGATGGATTGAGCCCATGTGTGGAGAGAGAGATGGATCAGTTGACGGATGGAAGAAAAGGATGGATGGATGGAAGAAAAGGATGGATGGATGGATGGATGATGGATGGAAGGAGGATGGATGGATGGATGGATGGATGGATGGATGGATGGATGGATGGAAGGATGGATGGGGTGGATGGATGGGTGGGTGGATGGATGGATGGATGAATGGATGGATGGAGGGATGGATGATGGATGGATGATGGATGGAAGGATGGATGGATGGATGGATGGATGGAGGATGGATGTATGGATGGATGGATGGGGTGGATGGATGGGTGGGTGGATGGATGGATGGATGAATGGATGGATGGATGGATGGATGATGGAAGGATGGATGATGGATGGAGGGAGGGAGGAAGGATGGATGGATGGATGGACGGGGTGGATGGATGGGTGGGTGGATGGATGGATGGATGATGGATGGATGGATGATGGATGGATGATGGATGGATGATGGATGGATGGATGGATG